ACTGTTTTTTTTTGGCTGTTTTTCAAGTATAAGGGGTTTTATATTATTATTAGGGTTGTAATGATTAGCCTCCTTTATCTTTGATAGTAAAGGTACCTATCAAATTGCCTGAACTTTTTCTTTTATCAAATTGCTGAACTTTTTCTTTTAAGTGTGATGTTAAGCTGGACATGTTTGTTCTTCGTGATTTTATTTTACCTTTTATGTGACATGAAACGAAAATATAACAATAAATGTCTAGAAACACACGTAGTTGTAACAAAGTGCATTTATAACAAAGTGCACGAGAGGATCTTGTGAATGTCTAGAATACACACGTAGTTGTAAAATTACATTAAATGGAAATACACAGCACCCCCCTTGTAACATTCTTCTAATATATAAAAGTTTCAAGGCACACTAAATATAAAATTTAGTTTTTATAATTTTAAATTATACTTTTATTATGGATTTAAATTCTTTAATTAATTTTGAGTTACTTCTCTATTTATAAATAGTTGCATATACAATTACAGAAATATTAATAATTTTAATATTATTAATTATTAAAAGTGGGTATAATACATAATTGCACCCTTAAATTTGGTCCTTTTGGTCATTTGGACACTTAAATATAGAGTTGTTCCTATCAGGCCCTTCAACTAAACCACATTTGTGCCAATTAGACACTTTGCAAACTATCTGAGAAAAAGTATTATAGAAAATAAACGCGCGTATTACCGTTGCCTCTAACACCTTAAAATATTTCACCTTATAGAATTAATCCCTAAAATAAATTGAAACTCATTTTCAGAAAATGGAAACCTGAACGTCGGCTCTGGCGAATTAGTGTCCTAAAAAGCTCACTAAAAATTTCCCCGTCAAATTTATCTCACTTCTTCTTGTTTCGATTTTACTGAAGTATCACTCTATTCTCTCTATTTCGCGTCTTAGTTGGTGTAGCTTACAAGTACCGTTTAAAGAGAACAAGCATGCCAAATGAGAATAGTCAAATTCATGTACACTAAGCTTTCTTTTAAAAAAAAATTATGAGGAAAAATGATGGGTTCACGGGAAGAAGAAGAGAAATAGAATGTAGGGTAGAAATTAGCTTTAATTAGAATAATATATTAGAATATAATAATAATATAATAATAATCAATAACCTTTTTCTCATGTTCACGCGCCCTTCCCCACGCACTCAATCATGTCACTACAAAGTGTCTAATTGGCATAGATGTGGTTTAGTTGAAGGGCCTGATATGAACAACTCTATGTTTAGGTGTCCAGGCGACAAAAAAGGCCAAATTTAAGGATCCAGTTATGTATTATACCAAAACAAAGGAACAAGACTAATATGGCTTTTGGAACTCAAAAAGGATTTAGAATCCTTATACAACAGAAAGCAAGCACTCTAGGCGCAAAAATAAAACATTCTCACAGAAAGCACTCTAGGCGCAAAACCAAAACATTCTCATGAACAGGGAAACTGAGGCAGCGTTGATTACACACGGAGGCCACGAAAGATTTTACGGTTCTTTACAAATCACTAATTCTTGAACTTATATATATAAATTTCATATTGTCAATTATCCTACAGTATTAATAGGTAAGAATTGAATAATATATCCTTCTTCCTTTGTATCAACTGTAAGTTCCATATTTAGGTGTGAAACTTTAAAAATAATTCAAATGCACTGGTTGTTATAGAATCAATTATTTGACGGGTATAAATTGAACTGGGGCGTACGTATTGGTGCAAGAAGTTTTGAGCTGAGTTGATATTACCCTTTACTAAAGTGGTATAACTCACAAAAGCACGCATACAAGGTGTTTGATGAATTGCTTAAAAGAGTTTATATTTACTTAATTGGAGCGAGTGATTACCTATTAACTTAGAATTGTTCTAGCAAAAGTTTAGATGATTTATTTTGATATATGTGCATAAATTTTCAGATTTTCATGTTGAAAATTTATGAGAAGCAAGAATCTTTAGAAATACTTTTGAATGTTTATTTCATTCTTATGCCATGCTTTACAATTAAGGATACCAGCATGAATATATATATGATGTTAAAAAAAAGAAGAAGATTTAGACTTGAAAAGTCGCAAGAAGAAGTTTTAGAAAGAAAAGATTTTCGGGAATATCCTTTATTCTGAGAAGGGGTCATTGTCTAGGCCGAGGGTCCTGACCAAGGCGTTCACTTCTTGAAACTACTTGTGCCAAAGTAGGGAGCACACGAGTCGAGGGTCTCGTTGCTGAAAATTTACTTAGCCATGCTAAGGTATGATACATGAGCGTTGAGAACCATGAAGCGAGTGGCACCTCGTGGATTAGGCCTATTCGATCAAGTTGGATCGAACCTATGCCGACCACACGATGATTAAGACAGAAATAGGTCAGGATAATTGGGGAACTCCCAAAGTATAAAGTGAAGTATTTTTTTTATAAGAAAGAAAAAGAAAAGAATTTTGGTATACTCGGTATTTCGGTACAGGATATAGTATTGAGTTTTTGATATTTCGGCATATTGACCGAAATACCGAAAAAATTGTAGAAATGGCATGCGATAATCATTTTTAATGTGGTATTTAGTTTTATCCAGGATTTTTAATGCTGAGCAAAAATAACTACTACTCTATTAAAATTAATACGAAAAGTCATTTTTATCCTTTCTTCATGAGTGTTGTGTAAATATTAAGGACATGTTGTCTTTAACTTCATAAGTGCTTTGTAAATATTAGGGAATGTCCTTAATATTTACACAACACTCATGAAGTTAAGGAAATGTCCTTAATTTTTACACAGTACTCATGAAGTTAAGGACACTATGTCCTAAATTTAACAATAGAAGGTGCAAATACATGATATTTTGTCCTTAATTTTTTACATAACACTCATGAAGTTAAGGACACCATGTCCTTAATATTTACCCAACACTCATAAAGTTAAGGACACTATGTCCTTAATATTTACACTACACACATGAAGTTATAGACACCATGTCCTTAATATTTACACTATACATAAGAAGTTAAGGACATGATGTCCTAAAGTTTAAAAATAGAAGGTGCAAATACAAGATAAGGACATTATGTCTTTAACATTTACATTGCACACATGAAGTTAATGACACCATGTCCTTAACATTTACACTGCACATATGAAGTTAAGGACATGGTGTCCTAAAGGTGCAAATACAGGACACTTTGTCCTTAATATTTATACATTACCCATGTCTAGCACAAGGGTATTTTTTTCGGGCTGGTAAAAATTTATTAAGCACTGACTAAAGAGTAAATATATTTAAAACAAGAGAAAATCTCACTTTATACCCATTAATTCCAAATTATTTATCCTTTAATGCCCAGACCCAAACTATTTACTACTCCTACCCATGTGGCCCAAACTATTTACCTAGTTATTCATTTATTCTATTAAAATAGCTCTTCTTTCTACACTGAGAATTTGGACGAGGGCACAACTTCAGGTTACCCCTAGTATGTAGTTGATGACTCTATAGGAGCAGAGAAATTTGGGGAAACCCCAAGATTAAAGAAGGCTTGGTCTTAATTTTAGTAACTCCAGATCCTTGAATTATTTTCTTGTTTGCTATTTCTTGACTTACTTGTAATTTGTTCTTACAAAATTGTTCTTCCATTTCCCTTATATCCTTCTTCAAAAAGAAATTAGATCTGATTATCTGAGAAGTTGTTCTCTGGCTAGTTTCAATTCTGCTCCACTTTTTCTTAATTGTTCTTTCCCTAGCTCTAGCTCTTGCCTTAGCTTAAATTTTTTATTTTGAAGATTTCTTGTTTGATTCAAAGTAGGTACTGTTAATATTACTTATAATACCTTCTGGAAGTTCATACTGAAATTTGATAGCATTTATAGCTAATTTGAGGTGATTGAGTTGGAAATTTGAGTTGAAAATCGAAAAAGAACACATCGGCCAAACAACATATTGCTACGGTATACAATATGTTGTAGGAGTACATAGCTATACTGCAACAGTATATTGTAATAATCGAAGAAGAACACAATTACCTAACAGTATACCGCTACAATATATAATATACTATAGGAGTATATAGTTATACTGCAACAGTATACCATTATAGTATACAATATATTGTTATAGTATACTGTAATATGCAATATACTGTAATAGTATGCTGTAATAGTATACAATACACTATAATAGTATACTTATTACCCGTAAATTCACTTGCCTTTTCCCTTTTAATTTGCTTTAAGCTTTTACCTAGCGTGATGGACAATTGAAAATGCAAAAATAAAATAAAATATTATAGTATGATATATAATGTAATGGTATACTCTTACAATTATATCCTTTTATAATTTTTTGAAATTTTTATTGACAACTGATATTATTTCAGTTTAATAATTGAATTAATTTTTTTTAATTCTTTGCGTATAATTGTATACCCTGTTGGTATAACTATATACTATACTGGTATCATATGTTAGTTAATATTTTTTGATTGTATTAGCTACATTTAATTGTTACACAATTTGGTTTTTTAGTAATAATATAAAAAAAATAATAAAAAATAGTGAAAACTGTAAATGAAATTAAATTATGAAGAGAAAAATAATATAAAAAAATGAAGTTAAATAAAAATAGAAAATAAAAAAAGAAAAAAAGAAGAAGAAAACGAGAAAAAAGAAAAGGAGAAAAGAAAAAAAAGAAAAAGAAAAAGAAAAGAAGCATAGAAATAAAAAAAAATTGGAGAATAAACAAAAACTAATATGGGTAGGAAATGTAATTAATTTATGGATAAAAAAATAAATGGATAGACAAGAATAAATAATTTTATTTTTGTGAGTAACTGTGTCAAAACCCCTTAAAACAATAGCTAATAAGTAAAGACATCCTAATTAGTGGCTAATTGTGCACTTTCCCAACTCTATTTCTATTTTACAGCCCAATAAGCCTAAGCCCAACCCCCCAAGCCCCATAATTCCCTAATCCCTTAGCGCACCTAGCGGCCTCTTTAGGCTTAGAGACAGCAGACTTACGGGCAGTAGCTTCTTCTGCTTACCCCCTTTCCCTTTTCTATTTTCTAACCCGAGACTTCTTTCAAAAATTGCAACATTGCTTGGCTGCTGCTGATTCACGACTACGATAGCAGAGGGAGACGGCGACTTCACGACCTCGGTAGCAGGTGTATGCCCTCTCTGTTTTTGTTGAATCTGATTATTGTTTAATTCTGATTTCTGCTGATACTTGTTAGATGGCAGATGCTGTTCATGTGTTGCATTCTGCTGCTCGTTTTTTTAAAGAAGTGCTTGAATGGACAATTGTGTTTATTGTTTCTGTGTTTATTGTTTAATGTACTTTCTGCTGCTGATTTCTGTGTTTATTGTTTAATTTACTTTAATTCTGCTGATGCTTGTTGTTGTTAGCCTCGTTAGTTGGCTAGTTGCTTGGTATACTTGAATTCTGCTAAAGTTGCTTTGTAAACTTTAGCAGGCTGCTAGCTTATTCATACAGGCTGCTAGCTTATTCAAATGATGCTTCTTCACGTATTGTCTAGCAGCTAGCTTAGCACATCGCGTCCAGTCCACTGTCTACTCCATTTATATCATCTATTCTGTTAATGTGTCAAATTGAAACTGTAGCGAAACCGTACCGAACCAAAATAAGAAATACCGAACCGTACCGAACTACTTTGGTACGGTATTTGGTATACACAATTGATAGACCGAATACCGAATTTCTTAAATACCGAACCAAAGTACTGTATGCTCACCCCTACAACTCAACCTTAAAGCACAAAAAGTAAAACGTAAACAAAAAAAGAAACAAATAATGTCAAATATAGCTGACATTAATAAAATGTGAACCTTTTCGTCGATTATGTACGGAGCAGATAACTGACTCGGACATGTTAGAAGGCTCAAACTTGAGATATGTGGCCCATTTGTCCCAAGAACTTATTTAAAAGCTTGAGCACAGAATGAGGCTTATGGACAACAGCCTACTCACCCCACTCAACCAGCAAATTGAGTCGCTCAATTTTCCATTTCTTACTTTTTTCTGATAAGTTCTAATACGTTTTTATACTATCTATTTCCAAACTTTTGGAGAAAGTGTGGAATAGAAGATTGAAAACGTGCAAGTTTGCAGCTGACCGAGTAAGATAAAGTTATAGTATATTAGCATGAAGGTTGAATTTCGGCTAACTTCGGTGCCCCTTGTTGAGTTGTTGGCAGGAAACATCTTAAATTTCATCCTTTAAATATTCATCTATTAAAAAAAAGGGGCCCTTATATATTTGCTCATGTAATAGATCTCAAACTCCATCTTCCCGAATGATTAGTTCCTTACAAAGATATAAATTTAATACATCTGAGTTATCTCAGCAACATTCGAAAAGGGTATACATATATGTGGATCATATGATCAATCTCAGAAGTTCAAAAGTATATAGTAACATGGCTGACACTTTTTTTTGAGCTTTTCTGAACCAAAATCTATAAAGGTGTTTGTATATCTGGATTGTGTAACGAATTTCAATTCAAAATGGATATCTTCGTAGTTGGATGAGTAGCAGTTCATGTAGATTTCTTTTTCATAAACAGACGAATGAAAACTTTGGAGGAACTTTTTTGGAGATGCTCAACCTAGAAATTGATATCATTTCTCCTGAGCTTTCCTGAACCAGAATCAAAAAGGCTGTTCATATAATTGGAACATGTAATAAATCTCAAGCTCTTTATGAATATTTCTCGTATGAGTATTTGTATCATGTAATGAATCTCAAACTCAAGCGAATAGATAATTGGGATTTTTTAGGGTGGATTCTTATGTTGAAAAGAGATAGAGTATAATATTTAATGTTGTTCGATGCATGGTACTGTTGCATGCTGTTAGTTTTTGACTTCTACCAATGGTAGGATGTATTTTTGTTAAATTTGAGAATATCTTTTGTTTAAATGGATATTTAGAAAATGAAACTTAAGTTTTAGGTCCCGATAGACAGGTTGACATTTCTCCTAATAGGCTATCAGCTCAGCGAAGGTGTTGGTGTACTCCACTTACTCCGGAGTTGCCTATTTGGTCAGTATGCTTTGGATATATATTGATTGGTATGGCGGGGCCCTGTCCCGACCTTTATGATTTTATGTACTCTTAGAGGCTTGTAGACAGATGTCAGGTGTATGGATACTTGTATGGCCTTGTCGGCCTATGTATTTGAGTTTACAAATGGTCATGTCGGCCTTATAGGCCCGTATGTCACATGTATAAGTTTGTATATCATGTTGGGTCATCATACGTTAAGTATTCCCTTATGTTTTATCCTTGTTATCTCATGAAGGGTTTTCTAGCTCATTTACCCATGATAGTATGATAAGAAAGATATGTTACGTTGGTACTCGGTTGAGTAAGGCACCGGGTGCCCGTCGCGGCCCTTCGGTTTGGGTCGTGACAAACTTGGTATAGTATAGTTTTAGGGATGTTTTCTACGAAAAAACTAAAGACAAGTACCACTTCCTCCTTTAACAATTTAGTTTTCCATATGTAATTGCCCGTGTTGTAAATAACGTGAAGCGAGGAAAAGTGAAAAGCCCTTTTTCGCGTGAAGCGAGAAGCGAAGCGCTCGCTTTTTTTCAAGTGAAGCGGAATTTTTAGAAAAATATTAAAATAAATATTGAAACAAAAAAAAGCAGTAAGAACTAAGAAGAACTGAAACGAAAAAGAAGGCAGTAAGTAAGAAAAAAATTGGGCAGCATTTCGCCGCAATTTAAGACTGAAACAGTGAAAGAAAATGAAAAAGAATAGAAAAAGAAGGAGAAGAAGGAGGAAGATTCACATACTTGGGCTTGAACTTAATGAACTTGAACTTGAAAAGTGCTGAAAATGGGAACCCTAGTCGCTGTTTTTTTCTTCTGCTATATGATGTTTTGAAAAAAGACAGTTTTTTATTATTTAATTAAAGTTGGCAGCCACTTAATATAGTGAAGCGCTCGCTACTGTCGCTTCTCGCTTCAGTCGCGCTTCTCGCTTTCTTGGCAGAAGCGCACGCTTCATATCACTTGCTACGCTTCACAACACAGAAGCTACCATGTGCCCGCCTCGCTTCGCTTCGCGCTTTAAGCACTGAAGCGAGCGCTTTTCACAACACTGGTAATTGCACACTTATTGCAATTTGAGATGGAACAGATTACACTCGCAATGCTTTTTCAGAATGTCCAAATTAATAGCATTTGTTACGACATCTCTTTCAATTCCTAAGATACCCTTTTGAATTTTGGAACATCTCGAAATGTTTGATACAATTCTAGTTTTGTTCAAATCTCACAACTTTCAAGTATTCACATCTGTTAAATTATTCTACTTTTAAAACTTAATTTGATATTTTCTCTATCTATCTAATTTTCAACCATCTATAAATAATTTAAATCTATGAACCTCTAAGTGTATTTTTAATTTTACATCAACCAAATATTATCTAAATGACTACTTAGTATTTTTTTAAATTAGTTTAGGAGGAAAATGTTTATTCATAAATTGTGTTAGTCAAACACCACTCTTATTATTCTATTTGAAAAAAGGGAAGTATTAGAAGAAAGTCAAAATAGCACTGGCTAGCCAGTTTTTAGACTAGTAAACTTAAAAATACTCGGTGTTTGCAAAGTAATTGGAAAACAACCTCTAATTAATGCGGATATAAAATCTAGACAAAACTACCCTAGCTGAAACATGACTCCTGCGTATAAACCCTTGGTATATTATATTTGGAAATCCAACACATTATACTGGAATTTCATATGTAAAAAAGTCAAACTCTAGTATATTATGTTGAAATTTTTTCGGATTTTAACTAAAAGTATTTTTGTTCAAATTTTATTTTTACATGAAAAAGTGGCTAAATTTCATTTTATTTCAAAATATAGCTAATTCTAAATTAGCAGTTGTAAATTAGGCTATTTTTGAATTTTTCCCTAAAGTCAAAATAGTTCTTACATGGGCTTCTCTCAAGTGGACCGCTTATCTTAACTTTGGGCCTTCCAGTGTTAAAAATTGCGTGAAGCGAGGAAAAACGACAACCCCCATTTCACGAAAAGCGAGAAACGAAGCGCCCGCTTTTTTTAAGTGAAGTGGAATTTAAAAAAAAATTTAAAATAAATACGACATAGACAACACATGTAATTGTAAGCAAATGTTCAATACTTCAATTAAAAAACTAAAGAGTAGCATAAATTAAAGCACAAAATGAGCATCCTATTCTTCTACAAGATTGTATTCCACTACATTATTGTATTGCTCGTCATCTTCTTCAACTTCATCTTCTTCATCAACTAGGGACAAAGTAGCTGCCTGTTTTCCTTTCCTCTGTGAACTTGAAGTTGAGGTACTCCCCCTCAAACCATAAATCCTCTCCCCAATTCCACGTGCCTCCGCAACATCACCCCAAGTGAAATCAGAAGTATCCTCAAATACTTCTTCATCTGCTTGATCTTCCGGGACTCCAGTTAGCCATTCATTAGCATCATCGATGTTGTCCAAACTAATTGGATAAATTACATTGCGAGCGTTGTAACGACGCCTCAATGTTCTATTGTACTTAATAAAGACTAGATCATTGAGACGCTTCAAGGTTAGTTTGTTCCTCTTTTTGGTATGAATCTGCAAATAATAAGTAATTAGTAAGATTAGGACAATTGAGATATAATTTAATTATCTCAATATACTAAATCTTTCTTATTAGTTCTTACATGCTCAAACACGCTCCAATTCCTTTCACACCCGGATGAGCTACATGTTAGACTTAGAACCTTGATGGCAAACTTTTGTAAATCTGGAGTGGAATGACCATATTGCTTCCACCATTCAACTGTAGAAGTAGAACAAATTTTCAAAATATAGTATTGATAAAGAAATAACTTATATAAAACAACATATAAGCACTCGCGCACCTGGTGACTTCGTCTTTCTTTGTCTAATGACCATGTTTTTTCCAAAAAGTTGCTCAGCATTCCTATAAATACTAAATTGCTCTGTGATTTTATCTTGCACGGATTCTTCAGGTATCAACTTCTCAATACATTCATAGTATCCATTCCACAAAGGTTCATCTCCTAGAATCCTCTCTTCATTGTCATAAAACAGTTTCGGGTTCAAAACAAGTCCAGCTGCATGCAAAGGGCTATGAAGCTTACTATCCCACCTTTTATCTATGATCTCAAAGACTCTTTTGTATTTTCTTTGATCACTAAAAGAGGTTTGAATAGCCTCCTTTGCCCTATCAATTGCTTCGTACAGATAGCCCATTGGTGGCCTTCGCTCCCCATCCACCAAACGAAGCACTTTAACTAAAGGACCACCAATCTTCAATGCATGAACCACATTGTTCCAGAATGAAGGAGAAAGTATAATATCTGCAGATTTTCTCCCTCGAGCTTCCCTTCCATAGGCATTGCTAGTGTACTCATCTGAAACAAACAACTTTTTCAAATTGCTTTTTTGCTCATACATCCTAGCCAAATTCAAGAAAGCAGTAGCAAATCTTGTCTTTGCAGGTTTCACCAAGCTTCTTTGTTTAGTGAATCTCTTCATCATGTTCAATAACAAAGGCCTTTGAACAATATAGGAATGCACCCTAATTGCTTGATTAAAGACAGTACTGAAGGGTCTTTCCTTGAAAATATCACCGAAGATCAAATTAACAGAATGTGCTGCACACGGAGTCCAATAGATATGCGGGTAGCAAGCAGACATCATATCACCATCTTTAACATTTTCACTGGCGTTGTCCGTGACAACTTGAACAATATTTTCTGCTCCAATAGAGTCTATTGTACTCTTGAACAAGGAGTACATTTTGGTTGAATCAGTCGAAGAGTCGCTTGCATCAACGGACTCAAGAAACAGGCTTCCCTTAGGAGAATTCACCAAGATATTAATGATCATTTTTTCATTTCTCGCCGTCCACTTATCCATCATAATGGAACAACCAAACTTGTTCCATTCTACTTTGTGCTCCTCCACGATTTTGCTCACCTCTGCCACCTCCTTTTTTAGATATGGCCCACTAACTTCATAATAAGTTGGAGGCTTCATTCCTAGGCCATATTGGCCTACGGCCTCAATAAAAGCAGCAAAAGTGTCAGTATAATTAACACAATTAAAAGGAAGACCTGCATCACATCCACCGCGCAAAAAGGTAACTGCACGGTCCCTCAAAATCGCTTTGGCATCAACTTGAGGATTACCACTTTTTCCTCCCTTATCTCCAGATTTTTGCGGGAAGTAACAATCCATAGGACCTTTGGTCTTGCCAGTAGATCCACAACTAGAAGACATTGGTGGAAGCATCCTTCCCCGCTTTTGTGATTTTGGTGGAAGCGACGAAGCATCGTCACCTTCTTCGGTTTCATCATCATCATCATCAAGATTATAAAGTTCTTGTTCATGAATCATTTGAGTCTTTAACTCTTTCTTTTTTTGAAGGTATGCTTTCAATTCTTCCTTCACATGCCCCGGAACTTTAGGACAAGATGCGACATTTGGATCACCACCGATTAGATGCGCTTTTTGACGATAGATTCCTCCATTTGTAATCTTATCACAAAAAAGACATCTAATGGCCATCTTGTTGGTCTCGCTAACTCTTGCAGAGAAAGCCCAAGCCGGGTCTTTCCTATCTTCTTTTGGCGCCATTAAAAGAACAACTACATAACACATAAGAAAAGCAATAAGAATTAAGAATAAAAGATATATAATTGGGCAGAAACTGGCAGAATTTGGGCAGAATTTTTCTGAAAAAAATTCGCCAGCATTTCAGCGCTTTTGGACGTTTAGAAAGAAAAAGAAAAAGAAGAAGAAGAAGAAGAATGAAAATAAAAAGTGCAAAAGCAAAACATACCTGTTGAAACTTGAAAGCTGTTGTTGTAGTGTTGAAGAAGAAAAGAAGAACCCTAGTTTGCTTGAAGAAATCGCTGGTTTTAGTGAGGGAGAAATCACTGGTTTAGAACCCTAGTTTGCTGCTGAAGAAGTCGAAGAAACTACTGGGTCTGGAACAGAAGTCAGCGATTTGGTCTTTTAATTGAAAAAAGACTTTAGGTCTTTTAATTCAAAAAGCGATCGCTTCTTCCGCTTCGCTCCGCTTCACCGCTTCTCGCTCTTTAGAGAGAAGCGGGCGCTTTTCTTTACCTGAGCCGCTTTTAATTGGAGTAGCGCCCAGCCTCCCGCTCCGCTTCGCTTCTTGCTTAAAGCGAGGAAGCGGTCGCTTTTCTGAACCCTGGGGCCTTCTAAGAAATCCGGGTCGGTTAATTCGCTCCACATGTGGTCGGTGAGAAGGATCATATTTGTAATCCAAAGCTCATCTTCTCTTTGTTTCTTTGCGAAACCCTTATTGTAGCGCCCGTTGACAATATATTCTCTTACTGGAACATATTTTTGGCCGTTTTCAACAGATAAGACTCTGTTTAGCTTCTCCTGATTTTGATTTTTTATTACCAGCTTATTTAATCAGGTAAATTCCTCTTTGTCTATTTCCTTTAATATGCCTTTTTTTTTTTTTGCACCGGGTGTCCGAGTCTCTAAGAGCCCCGACTAATCCCGGGGGTGCACAGGCCCTCGGCAAGGAGTTTCCCGCAAGTGCACCACGGTTAATTCAGGTTTTACCCAGTCCGATGGCCCTCAGAAATTGTTTGCACCCCGTGGGTTTCGAACTTGAGACCTTGAAAGGGAGCAAACCTTCCTTTAATATGCAATTAACAGCTAAATTTGTCATCATTACTTTTCTTTTACGTTTTGCTTTGGTGCTTTAAGATTAAGTTGTTTCTATTCAAATGTGTTAAACAAATTTTGAGTAACTCATACGAAGTATATAAAACCCTAAAATCATTATATAGATCCATTATTTGCTGTTCGAATGTTTTCTTTAATGAGTTCGGAATTAGTATAGAATCCGGATGATGTCGCTTTATTTCTCTTTCATGGAAGAGAATTGAACGAAAATAAAGAGCTTTAGAAGCCAAAGTGATAGTATGCTGTTTTGTGGGACTGTAATGAAGTGTATTCTAAGAACATAAATCAGAGATAGAGCAGTCTTTGTGGTGTTGGTTTTCGACACATTACAAATTTCTTGTATTTTTTTAATCTATGAACTTTCTTCTATTATACTTTAAATTCTTTTGGTTAAGCATTTTTAAGAAAACTAGCTTAGGAGTTGGCACAAATTTATTAAAGGAAAATTCTATCAAAAAGCTTTAGTTTTGCTTGATTGAATGAAGAAAATGAAGATTTACGCATTTGTATTGCTTTTGCTTACTTGAGTGAAATGATATTATGAGCACATTTTTGGTTTTTTTCTCTTTTAAATGGAAGTTAGGTGTCAGTTTGTATTTAGGTTGTGCTTGCTTGAATGAAGTATGAGTCATTGAGCTTACTTTTGGTTTTTTGTTGTTGCCTTGAATGAATGAAGCTATCAGCATATTCTTGGTTTCTTTCTTGAATAAGTTGAGGTATAGGTTTTATTCTAGGTTTCGATTGCTTAAATGACAACTGAAGTGATGAGCATGTTCATGGGGTTTACCTGAGGAAAGCAAAATGAAGATAGAAGCATATTTTTTGTTTTTTTTATGCTATTATTGGTGCTTATGCTACGCCATAACTGCTTGATCGTTTTTTAAAATATAATTTGCTGCAACTTGCAGGAATAGAAATGCTGAGCACCACGCCAATATTACCCCTTCCAGCGCCCCCGTTGGATGGGAATCTGGGACCAACACCTTCAGCGCAGGTGGTAGAGGAACCAAAGGATGATAACATGGAGGAAAATGAAGAGGACAACAATAAAGCCAATAATGTTCCAGCGTCTGTTGCAACACATACTAGAACCATTGGTATCATTTATCCGCCTCCAGATATTAGGAGTATTGTCGACAAGACTGCACAGTTTGTGGCGAAGAATGGTCCAGAATTTGAGAAGAGGATTGTTCTAAATAACGCTGGCAATGCAAAATTTAACTTCCTGAATGCTTCTGATCCTTACCATGCCTATTATCAGCACCGTTTGGCTGAAGCTCGTGCACAGAATCAGACTTCTGGAGAGCAGCCTATTCAACCAGCAGAGCAAGAAGCAGCCCCTGCTCCTCCTACCGCTGATGGTGCTGAGGCAACTGCTAGGCCTGATCCGTCAGCTCAGTTTAGACCTGTCAGAAGGGTTCTTGAGCCACCTGAGGCAGAGCAATATACTGTTAGACTCCCTGAAGGGATCACAGGTGAAGAATTGGATATCATTAAGCTTACAGCACAATTTGTGGCCAGAAATGGGAAGTCTTTCTTAACAGGGTTGACGAGCAGGGAGATTAATAATCTGCAGTTTCATTTTCTAAAGCCTACTCACAGCATGTTCATGTTTTTCACTTCACTTGCGGATGCGTATTCGAAAGTTCTGATGCCTCCTAAAGGCTTGACGGATAAGCTGCGGAAGAGTGCTGTTGACATGACAACAGTCCTGGAGCGATGTCTGCATCGATTGGAGTGGGAAAAGTCACAGGAGCAGGCTAGGCAGAAAGCTGAAGATGAGATAGAACAGGAGAGGTTGCAGATGGCTATGATTGATTGGCATGATTTTGTTGTCGTTGAGACTATAGATTTTGCTGATGATGAGGATCAGGATTTACCCCCACCTATGACCCTTGAGGAGGTTATAAGGAGGAGCAAGATGCCTACATTGGAGGAAGAAGAGTATGTTGAGCCCGGAAAAGAGGTGGAAATGGAGATGGATGAAGAAGAGGTGCAGCTAGTGGAAGAAGGTATGAGAGCTGCGACTCTTCAAGAGAATGGTGGTGTCAAGAGTGCGGAAACCATGGCAATTCCAGAGGAACAGGACCCACCTATGCGGATTGTGAAGAACTGGAAGAGGCCTGAAGAGAGGATCCCCACAGAAAGGGACCCAACTAAGTATGTTGTCTCTCCTATAACTGGTGAGCTAATACCTATTAATGAAATGTCTGAACATATGAGGATCTCTCTCATCGATCCGAAGTACAAGGAACAGAAAGACAGGATGTTTGCGAAGATTAAGGAGACAACTCTTGCGCAGGATGATGAGATATCTAGGAACATTGTTGGACTTGCAAGAACCCGCCCGGATATATTTGGTACTACAGAAGAAGAAGTTTCAAATGCGGTCAAGGCTGAGATTGAGAAAAAAAAGGAAGAGCCGAAGCAGGTCATATGGGATGGTCACACAGGTAGCATTGGTCGCACTGCAAGCCAGGCAATGTCTCAGAACATTAATGCAGATGATCAGAATGATGCTGCAAATGATGGAAGAAACCTTCCTGGTCCGCAGGCTCCTCCACCTCCCAGGCCTGGTTTTCCATCTGTTAGGCCATTACCTCCACCTCCTGGGCTTGCGCTGAATATTCCTAGGCCTCCTAATACAGTTCAGTATTCCACCTCCACCAGTGCTGGGGTTGCTGCTCCGCCTCCACCTCGACCTCCTATGGTTAACATGATTCCTCAGGTTCGGTCCCCACCTCCTCCCATGCCACAGATGCTAGGTCAGCAAAATCTGATGGTAAATCGTCCACCAATGCCTCCATCAATGGCCATGAATTCGCATGGCCATCCTATTCCACCACCTCCTGGATCACAGTTTACACCTTTGGGAGCACCTCGACCCTTTGTTCCCCTCCCGATGTCCCAGCCCGGAATGTCTATGGTTCCACCTCCTCCTATTCCCCAAGGAATGCCGCCTCCTCCTCCACCAGAAGAAGCCCCTCCTCTACCTGAAGAGCCAGAGCCGAAGAGGCAAAAGCTTGATGAGTCGGTTCTCATTCCTGAAGAGCAGTTTTTGGCTCAGCACTCGGTAGGGATAGCTTTCTTTCTTAGTTTTCCCCCCAATTTTTTTACATAATTGTCTGGGTATCTTTTTAAACTTTGTTTAATGCCTCATGTTTACTTACATCCTTGCAAATTTTGTTTCCTGCTGGGTTGTATTGCAGGGTCCTGCAAGGCTCAATGTATCTGTGCCGAATACCGACGAAGGGAATCTCAAAGGACAAGTTCTGGAAATCACAGTGCAATCTCTGTCTGAAACCATTGCCAGTCTAAAAGAGAAGATTTCTGGGGAGGTCCAGCTTCCTGCAAACAAACAAAAGCTGAGTGGAAAGGCTGGTTTTCTCAAGGACAACTTGTCTCTTGCATACTATAATATTGCATCTGGAGAAACTCTCAGTCTCTCTCTGAGAGAACGTGGTGGCAGAAAAAGATGAATGGAGAGTTATTTGGCATGGCCTTGAAAGGTTTATTTTGGAACTGTTCGGCATATCTAATCCTTGTTATGAATTTAAAGAATTCTCCATACTTCTTTCATGTTATTTTGGAGATTATATTGGTCTTGTACTTCTAGTTTTTCTTTCTGCAATTTAATCAACTTTATCCTTCAAGCTGATGGTTGTGGGTATCTACTACAGATTTTGGCATGTTGGCGATCATCCATGAGGACAACAGGAAGTTTATAAGTTCTATGTTTATATAAGTGCAATGACTGTGCGTTGTGTTTATGTTACTAATTTGTGCTTGTCTTAACATGTGCAATTGCTATTTTTTGTATCTTCTAACTCCAAGGCCATTCTGGATTAAAATTGTCTAATGTGTTCTTGGCAGATATTCCTTATAATTTTAGAGGCTTCGCATAGCAATTTAATCTCTGATTCTTATCTGGACTTTAGGACTTATTTCTGTAGAAGATGTGCTTGTCGTGGTGGGAGATACTTGTTGCAAGCACAGCTGCCTCTTTTGTGGTACGTTTTTTGGGGCACTTGAGCCCCCTTCATTGTTTTGGTTTGTTTTGATGTAGTCTGCTGTATGGAGAAAGTGATAATGGGTTTTCTGATGCGTTTATTTATCAACACAGCTTTACCCCTGTTAAGGGCTGTGATATATGCTGTATTTGTCGGTTGTTTTATGAGCTCGATAGCGAAAGCAGGTAGACTTATTACCCTTTTCATTGGCTTGTTCATTTATTGTTTGGTGAGAACCTGTTGGCAGAAATGAAGATTTAACATTTTTCTTTTCTTGTGTTTGTCTCACCTTCTTGACAAAATTCTACTGTGCTTAATCCATATTAGTTCCATGTGTCAGCAGGAAGTGTCTTATGCATTTGGAACGGTAATTACATGAAGGTTTAATGGTGAACATTTCTTATTTGTATATGGTGAGACCAGTTAGATCAATATAAATATCACTTGGTCAGCTTTCCCTTGTGTTAGTTTTGGTACCAAATTACCTCAATATATTCATCTGTAGAGTTACAATTTTATAGCACAGAGAAAGAAACAACTAGGAAACAATCTAAGGCATGGTTTCAGCTTAACAGATTCCTAAAGGGATGCAGAGACTTCCTTCTTCAGTCTCTTCTTTTATGAAGTGCCAATCTACTTCAACATAATTTGTTCTGTAAAAATAGCACGGTATAGCCAGTTTTCGGACTGGTCAATCAAAAATAGCCAGCGTTTACCAAGTCAATGAAAAATAGCCACTATTTTGCTGCAATAGAGACCGGTCCAGCATAATATACTGGAGTTCGGTGCACTTGTGTATGAACTCCAGCATATTATGCTGGACCGGTATACTTTGCTGGCTCCAGTATAATATACTGGAGACTGGAGTACCGGTGCTTCAAACTCCAGTATATTATACTGGACCATTATACTTGCTGGAACTCCAGTATATTATGCCGGAGTTCTAGTGTACTTATGCTGGAACTCCATCATATTATGCTGGAGTTCCAGCATACTTATCCTGGAATTCCAGTATAATATGTTGGAGTTCAAGTATACTTATGCTGGAACTCCAGCATAATATACTGGAGTATTTTCCGGGTTTTGAACAATATTTTCACTCAGATTTATCTTTACATAAAAGTGGCTAACTTTCGATTACTTTTGAAATTGGGCTATTTTTGAACTAGCAATTGTAAATCTGGCTATTTTTGAATTTCTCCCATTTGTTCTATCTTGTTGAAATGGATTGTGAGCAATGCTTATTGCGGCCTTGTTGTCACAGTATAACTTCATCAACTGCCCCTTTTAGTTCTTCCATCATCTTCTTGAGCCAAATCATCTCATATATCCCCTGGGCTATAGATTGATATTCAGCTTCTGCATTGCTACGGGCTATTGCATTTTGCTCTTTACTCTTCCAATTCTCGAGATTTCACCAGATGAATGTATATCCTGATTATATAAATTATATCCCGATTACAAATAGCTGGTCAGATTCACTAGTATATAATTTATCAACTGCCCCTTTTAGTTCTTCCATCATCTTCTTGAGCCAAATCATCTCATATATCCCCTGGGCTATAGATTGATATTCAGCTTCTGCATTGCTACGGGCTATTGCATTTTGCTCTTTACTCTTCCAATTCTCGAGATTTCACCAGATGAATGTATATCCTGATTATATAAATTATATCCCGATTACAAATAGCTGGTCAGATTCACTAGTATATAATTTATCAACTGCCCCTTTTAGTTCTTCCATCATCTTCTTGAGCCAAATCATCTCATATANTATATATATATATATATATATATATATATATATATATATATATATATATATATATATATATATATATATATATATATAAAAGCATGAATAACTTTTGCTAATTGTTGGATGACTAAAATATCCTCAAAACTTTGATAGACTTTTATGCCCTTAAAAATTCGAGTTAGAGGTGGATGTAATTGTATGTCACGACCCAATTCCCAACCCGGTCGTGATGGCGCCCTTCGTGAAGACAAGGCCAGCCAACAGAACATTAACACTTCTTTAACAATTTCTTAGCATAAAAAGGTCTAAATCATAGTTACTGATTAATCATAAGTGCGGAAATAAAATGTAACATAACGGGGAAAAACCATCCCAAACTCAGCCCGATGATCGGGGTGCCACAAGTCACGAGCTACTACAGAGTTGATGAAAATACTACAAGTCCGGAAACATAGTCTGAAGATGAATAAAATATGCAGAAGATAAGGAAGAAACGGGGCTGTGGACGTCGATAGCTACCTCGTCTCTCCTAGTCCGCCTGGTCTGGAAGGAAATCAGCACTCAGGTACGAACTCAGCTGTGCCTTTCTCTGCACACATGGTGCAGGAAGTAATGTGAGTACTCCGACCCAGTGAGTAATAAAAATAAATAACAACTGAGAACGTAAAATCCCACAAGGGCACAAATAATGCTATCTCAAGCAGCAACATCAGATAAACAGTAGAAACCAGTGAAATATAGTAAGAAAAACCTTTTGAAAACAGTTAAAAATCAATCATACTCAACCAGTACGTCAACCATTGTTACCTGACCGGTCAGCCATTGTTACCTGACCAAACGCGTATTACAGTGCCATTATTACCACTGGTGAGTCATTGTTACCTGACTGGTCAGTCATTATTACCTGACCAAATGCGTATAGCAGTGTCATTGTTACCACTGTTCAGTATTTAATCACTCTAGATGGGTACCCGGGCTCACTGTGGGTGTGCAGACTCCGGAGGGGCTCCTACAGCCCAAGCGCTATCGACAAGGCCTGAAAGCCTGAACAATATCAATACGAGGCCTGAAAGCCTGCTCACATTGCACTCGAGGCCTGAAAGCCTCCTCACCTCACTCATCATGCCCTCACATAAGGCCCTTGGCCTCAATCAGTCCAAAAATAGTCAAAGCCCCTCGGGCATCAGTAAACAATAATACCCAGCTCAACAATAATTCAAATATCAGTTAAAAACTCCAAGTTTGAGTAAAAATATAGCTGAGCTCATGAAACAGTGTAAATCACATGGACCGAGTTCAAATAGTATTTCAAATAGTGAGGGAAAACAGTGATAACAGCTCAAAAAGAGTTCAAACAGTCGGCAACAAGCCCAAGTATGGCAATGAGCCCAAAACATAGTGAAAACAACAAGTCATAGCTGACACGCAGTAAAATATTATCCGGGCTGGACCAAGTCACAGCCCCCAATAGTAAATGACTCCGCGCTCGTCATTGAACGCGTGTCTCATCTCAACAAAGCACCAAGTTGTGCAAATCCGGGGTCTCAAGCCCTCAGAACATCATTTAAAATCATTACTCACCTCTAGCCGGTCAAAAGTCTAGCTCGCTATGCCTTTTCCCCTCGAATCGACCTCCTCGCGCGTCGAATTTGATCAAAACCACATGGAATACATCACAATAGGCTAATGGATCATAACCCAATCGAAAAGACTCGAAAAATATCAAAAATCACGAAGATGGCAAAACCCGAGCCCCGGGCCCACTTCTCGAAAAATTACAAAATTCACATCACGGGATTCCTCGTCTCGCCACGAGTCCATATATATCAAATTTACTAAAATCGGAGTTCAAATGCCCTTTCTAATCCCAAATTTTCATTTAAAAAACCAAGCCCTAGTTCTTCCAATTTTTACCCAAATTTCCAAGAATTAAAGGTTGATTCTTCAAAAAAAATGGCGTTTCTAGGTCACGAGACTTACCTCCAATCAATTCCTGCCAAAATCCTCTTCAATTTCTACCAAAAAGCTCTTAAGGTGGTTAACAATGGAGGAAAAATGAATAGGCTCGCGGATGAAATAATCAATTAAAACCCTTCTGCCCAGGTGTTTTTAACCCTATGCGATCGCGGCCCTAGGCATGCGATAGCGATGAACAAATTCTCAGGGATTCAAAAACGTTCTATGCGAACGCAACAGGAGCTATGCGATCGCGGTTAACAATTTCCCAAACGTACGCGAACGTGTCCACTTTTATGCGAACGCGTAGGATAAAAACATGCTGCCCCAAAATCCTCTTATGCGAACGTGGGATGTACCATGCGATCGCGTAGCTTTACCTCCCAGTGCTATGCGGTCGCGACTCAATGGATGCGATCGCATAGGCCAATTTTTCCTTCTGCAACATCTATTGAAACCTGCAGTACTTTAGCTAAACTCTCGTTTGACCACCCGAAATCATCCCGAGGCCCCCGGGACCTCAACCAAAAGCACCAACACATCCTAAAACGTTATTCAAACTTGCTCCAATCTTCAAAACACATCAAACAACGCTAAAACCATTAAATCACATCGGATTCAAGCCTAAGTTTCTTAAAAACTTCCGAATTACGCATTCGATCAAAAACCCAACCAAAACATCTCCGAATGACCTGAAATTTTGCACACACATCCCAAATCACCTAACGGAACTACTGCAACTCTCGGAATTCCATTCCGACCCCCGGATCAAAATCTCACTCACCAACCGGAATTCGCCAAAATACTAACTTCGCCAATTCAAGCCTAATTCCACACCGGACCTCCAAAATCACTTCCGATCACGCTCTTAAGTCACAAATCATCCCCCGAAGCTAACCGAATCACCGGAAATCACATCCGAGCCCTCTAACTCAATAGTCAACTTCCGGTTGACTTTTCCAAAACAAGCTTTCCTTAAAGAGACTAAGTGTCTCATTTCCATCTAAAACCAATCCAATTCAACTCGATCACCTCAAATACCGATAATGAAGCATAGAGAAACATAATATGGGGAAAACGGGGCGGTAACTCACGTGACGACGGGCCGGGTCGTCACATCCTCCCCAACTAAAACAAACGCTCGTCCTCGAGCGGGTCAAGAAACATACCTGGAGTCTCAAACAAGTGAGGATATCTGCTCCGCATCTCCCGCTCGGTCTCCCAAGTAGCCTCCTCCACGGGCCGACCTCTCCACTGTACCTTCACTGAAGCTATATCCTTTGACCTCAACTTCCGAACCTGATGACCCAAAATAGCCACTGGCTCTACATCATATGTCAAATCATCATCCAACTGAACTGTGCTGAAGTCCAAAACATGGGACGGGTCCCCAACATACTTCCGGAGCATAGACACATGGAATATCGGATGAACCCCCGACAAGCTGGGTGGCAAAGCAAGCATATAGGCCACCTCCCCAATCCTCCTAAGTATCTCAAAAGGCCCAATGAACTGCGGACTCAACTTCCCTTTCTTTCCAAATCTCGTAGCGCCCTTCATGGGCGAAACCTTCAACAAGACCTTCTCGCCCACCATATAAGATACATCCCGCACCTTCCGGTCCGCATAACTCTTCTGACGCGACTGAGCGGTACGAAGTCTCTCCTGGATCACTTTTACCTTCCCCAAGGCATCCTGGACCAACTCTGTCCCCAATAGTCTAGCCTCGCGGGCTCAAACCAACNGGATTGTGACACACTTAAAATAAAGGAAAATTAAAATTTAAAATTTTATTTACGCATACACACACGAACACACACTAATCGATTATTGAAGATAGAAGGAAAAACAAAGAAA